AGAAGGAATATAGTAATCCAGAGAGGAGAAAGTAGGGATCAAAAAGAATTTTGTGAAATTGGGAATTACTGCAATGAATTAGCGTTTAGAGAAAAGGGATGTATGCCAAGTATCTTTAAAAATGAACCAGAAAAAGCACTCATTACCTCCTGGCTTGAAGTAGTAATACTGTTTTGAACACTATGGGTCTACAGATACGAACAGAGGCAAGGACTGAAGAGAGGTAATATCTTGCATTAGACTAACTGTGGGGGAAAAAGACTAATAATGGAGGGGAGAAGATTTGGGGCTCACAAGTCAGTCCTCAGACCTGAGAGGGTGGGAAAACTGCTGATTATGCCTGAAAGCTTCTCTGTTTTTCACTCTACTGGCTGACCTAATAAAAAGATACTACCTCTCACCACAAACCCTTTCCCCTTAGTAGCCCAAATGTTCTTTTATCTCCAGATTTTTTCCTCGCAGTTGCAGCATTCATTCCCCTCTACTCCAGCGTCCCCTGTAGTCATCTACAACTGTGCTGCTACCAAAACACACTCCCAAAGTCAATTACAATGTGGTTACAGCTGGTTCACCCTACTGTCACAGTGAGGGCAAGTTCGTGAGCAGCTGAGCCAATCTAACAACTTCTACAGCCGAAAGGGGAGGTCTCGGGTAGATTTTGGGAAGTGCTAACATCTTATTCACCATTCAGATTGCTTCAAAGAAACGTCCAGTACGCAACATTTCAACAAAATTCAAAATCATTATACCAAAGGCTATAACATCCGTAGAGCAGAAAATAGAAAGATTGAAGACGCCAGTATTTTCTTATAATGTATTTTCTTATAAAATACAATTTGCAAAAGACAACCAAGTTTGTCTTGGTATTTACAGCATTTGAGAAAGAAAGGAACCTAGAAATGAGAAAAGAATACGAAATATGAACAGATGCAAGGAGCAACTGTTGCTTTTTAGGGATAAGCAGACACTGGCTCTGGAAGAAGAAAAGACAGAGCAACACACTTACGCTCTCCGTCATTTCTGATCAGTCTGTTTGATCAGTCTGGGAACTAGGACAGTAACTGGACAACTTTAGATCAGAAAGAAAAAGAGGGTGGGAGAACAATACTACAAGAGGCAAATAACTGGGCCAAAAATAAGTTTGTCTGTGCGTTTGTTCCCTCAACTGAGAAACAACAGCAAGCAGCTTTAGCTACAGCACTTAAAGATCTTCACGTCCACATGCCAATGGCTCCTAAAGGGCTTTTGCTGGCTAAGCCTTCTTTTCCCTTGAAATGCTCTCAACACTGAGGGCTGGAAAGAACAACTGGCAGATGTGGTTATTAGCTGTGCATCAGAGATGCTCAACGGATGTTCCCGCGCACTATAAGCCAAAGCAATCCATTCTGCTCACAGCCAAAGAAAGGTTTTGGCATTACTGCTGCACACCACATTGAGATGCCTCTTATAGGCAAGAGGTACCATGGGACAAAACTGCTTACAGCTTTGTGCCATTATAGTCAGATTTTTAACTACAGATGTCTCCACGGAATTGTATGGGGAAGAAATGAAGTAAACATTTTTCAGAATTTAAGAAGAATAGAGAAAAATTATATAATGATAACTTGTTGCATTATACTGATACTATGTATTCAGCTGTGCTGTGCTAACTCAATGTAACACTGCCCATATTGCATTCATGACATATCAGATTATTCTTATTAAACAGTACTCCTTTCCTTAAGCACCTTTTATGCTGTCCCGATCACGCCTCTGTATGGTGAGAGCCTATCAGCATCTGCCAAATTACCTTCAGGAGCCTGTTCCCTACAGGGAACAGAGACGGAAGAGGAAGTCCGGCTGCGCAAACCACACAGGTTTAGCGTGCTCCGGGCAAAGGGCTGCTCCTTAGCTACTGTTCTGTACAAATGTATTTACTACAATATTTAACAAGATTGCAAAGCGCTTCAAGACTTGAGTTCAGTCATCTATGCAAAAATACAGCTGCCTTGCCAAAAAACCCACCACTTAATACTAGTGATTTGCAAAGTCCCTTGATGTGTGCAAGGAGGGGAAAACCACGGAAGATGTCTCCTATCTGTAGTTTAGCAAACCGCAAGTGAACGAGGATAGGAAAAAAAAAAATAAAAACCCTTCCCCAAGCATACTGCACTATTAAGCACATTTGATATCAAAGGCAATAACAGAGACAGATGGCAGACCAAACAAAAGGAGCAAATGTAAACACACGTAGACTCCCCACCTGCGCACCAGCACGCTTCGGCGTTACTATGCTGGAAACCGTAAAAACCAGACCCGCGGGCACAAAGGCGCAAATTCAGAGCCTGGCTGGGGCGTGCGGAGACCGAGCGCCAGCGCAGCTGGCTGGCGGGGGTCCGAGGCCGCGGCAGAGGGGCTCCT